CATTTTACAAATTTAAGTATGCTTTATAGAATAATTTGCACACATTACAGTCAATTGCAGTTGGTTGTATTGCCACTATTGTTATCAATATAAACCAATTAAGCTTTGATGATTAAACACAATTGGAAACAATATTGTCCAGTGTTGGACATGTCTCAGTCAAGGGTCCTGTAATGATGTCCAATAAAGTATTGGTACTGTATAACAAGAGACAAAAATCCCAAAGAAATCTACATTTATGAAAACAATGTGGAGCATCCACCTGTATCAGACACTGTAACTGTAAACACGATTGCTTGTGGAGTATTTCGTAGTTGGAATGTTAGTTAGTAGAATAATGTGGTGCCTACAACCCCTAAACTTCTAAAATATGGTTGACTGAAATCCTGTTGAACCAATCACATTTTTTTCGGTTCTATGAATGTGGCTTAGAAAGAAACATAGGGTGGCATGTGTTTAAGTAAAGTATTGTGATGATGCACAAAAAATATTTAAAGTTTTGCTTTTACCATTTGTGTAATTATCAGTATTACATAATAATCCTGAGTTAGTGGCATGGCAAACTATACTGTATGTGGGCACACAGGTTGATGCAGCCTTACACTTTTTCGTAAGCTCCTACACTGTATGTGCGTAAAATTAGACATTGATCATGACTGTTCGTACTGAACACTAAAAACGTTAAATATCATTCATTTTACATTTCACTAATTGGAAGACTGGATAACAGGACAGGGGTATTTCCGCTTACTCTGTGCTCTTTGTACAACTACGCCAAGTTGTATCTGTGACTTGGCCTTGTAAAAGCAAGTTCAGATGTATTATTGCAAATGCCTCCATAACTTAAAAAGAGAAGCTCTTGCACACGTAATGGCTTATTCTTGTAATTCATCAGAGATCTTTGGTTCAATAACAATATGCATCCTCACTGTTTTGTCAAATTCAGTGCACAGTGCTTGGTGACAAAGCAATTCATCCGTCGGAGTCTGCAGTTGTTCTTTCATGAGAACCAATCAAGTAATCTTTAACAGTCTTTCTTCCAGCCTCCTGAATGAAACAATGCCCTAGCATGTTCTCCGCCTTTGTTTGCTCAGTTCCATTTGCACAATCTAAATCCACAGTAGTAACTTCCCCTAACCATCTCTTTGAAAAAAGGCACAGGAGTCAATCTGTCCTAAAATAATACCCCCATATCCTTGCAACACTATAACAAATGCAGGCTCACTTTGGAAACAAACGAAGATGGTGGGTGCAATTTCACTAAACAAAGATCTACAGTATAAGGAAAATATGTGCAGGTGAATTTGACGTTTGCAGATACTTTTGCGGGATTATTAAGTACAAAGGCATGACTCTACTAGCAGATAATTCAGCACGATTGCCTTATAATCTCAACTATTTACTAAAAACAGACAATAACATCCTTTTTGGTTTCTAAATTCAACAGTGGCCTGTCACTCAAAGAAACGGATCGAGGTCTTCAGTGTTACTGGAAGCTTGTAACGAAAGTTTGGGAGGGGTGACAACAGCCAAGTTCAATTTTCCTCCTCAGCTGTCAGTAATTCGTTATCGTAATGTCATTTCCTCATCTAAAATACTACAAATACTGTACGGAATTCCCTTTTCTCCCTCAGATACTGTACATATTTTCACATCTCTCCTTCACATCACCTTGGTCATGTCTCAGTCTGCAGGAGGGTCCCAACCTTCTTGTCCTCTTGGCCAGGAGGTCAGCCCCCAGCCAGGCAGATTAAGCCAGAGTTTATTGAGACTAACACACTACATAAACCTTTCAATGTGTCATAATTCTAGGGTGTTGTTATTCCTAGTGTATTACTGTTTGCATTGCTTCCAGTATACTGCTGCAGCATTCTCTTTTGTGATAACAAAATGCTGTCTTGGATTTGGTTATAAGGATTGCACCCCCATAGATGCCATTGATAAAACAGAAGGAATACATGTTGGCATTATAAGGTTTGCAAGTCCTGTAGGTATATAAATGACACTTACTGCAACACTGTTTTTCACGCATGACATTTGATTCAATTCCAAATGAAAAGAAACACTCCTCAAACAAATGTGATATTAGTATTTGTGATGTGATATTAGTATTTGTGCCTTCTAAAAGGCATTCAAATGCTAAAAGTACTTAAGTGGTTTATTTCATAGCACTTTTTATTCCTCATAAATTTCCCAGAGATGTTTTTTTTAAACCACAATGTATTAGTTCTGAAATTGGACCCAAATGTCAATAATAAATTAAATATGAGCTGTAAAATTCAATTTATTTTCCCTTTAAAATATTGAATGTGTGCAAATGTATAGCTGGGATGTGCAGTTAATTAGATAGTTCTTTGAACATATATTTTTTTAATTATTAATTAACACACGGGGATATACTGTAAATATCTTTAAATTTAAATATTTTTTTTCTAAACCTGCAAAAGTAGCAGTGAACATTGCTGTTGTAAAATGGTAGTATAATTATACAACCAAAACATTAATTCAAATGTTGGTCATAAATTTCTTTCGGAGCACTTTTTAAAATTTGGTCTCTACAGCTTGCAAAAGAAATCTGGGCTACAAAAAGAAAAAGTTTTAAATCTGCAAGGTGAGCGTTGCTGGGTTTTTCTGCTCTGCAGCAGTTTTAAAGTATACAACGCATCAAAAGAAATCTTACAACTGCAACAAACACAAAGTTGTCACAAGAAGGACAAAATCTTTTTCACAGGGGTGTGTTGACATTTTATTTAACAGACATGACCTACTGTAGGTCACTTGGCATAAATCGGGCTGGGTGGCATTGCTGTCTTGCAGCACTGGGACCCTGGATTCAATTTCTTTGGCGTTATCCGAGTAGAGCATGTAGCTTCTCCTCATGTTCGTGCGAGTTTCTGCTGGAAAGCTTTTTCTTGCTTCTTGGAAAACTGCCTCTGCTCTGCTCTGCGCATGTGTGCATGCGTGGGCCCTGTGATGGACTGGTGTCCCCTTCAGGGTGTATGCCACTTTCTGCCCATTGCTTGTCAGGACAGGCTTCAACTCCCCTGCAACCTTGTGTTGGATTAGGCGGGTAGAAAATGGATGAGTGGATAAATAGGGATTGATCGACAGGGGTTTAATCAGCTGTAACAGGCTGGTACTGTAGTTTGCAGTTTCACCACTGGAAGCAATACAAGCTGCGGCTCATACTTTGCACTAGGTTGCAGATGCTGGCTTGTAGGTTTCCATCCCACTCCTCTTGCAAATACTGGACAAGCATATGCTTGTTTTGACTGGTTTGTGAGCCCTCGATGCCACACAATCTCAAATATGTTAGATGGGGATCAACTCTGGCAAGTGCTCATAGTATTAGTTTTCATATTCTTACCTTTTGAAAGACAGTTGTTGTTAGACAAGCAGCTTGGTGGTATGCACAATGGGACCACAGTAAAGGCAGGTAGTCAGGTACCAAGAATTAGCCAATGTATAGTAGCACCTGTAATTACTACGAGTTTTATGGTGACAAAACACTTTTTGGCCAGAACATCACACTTGATCTTCCCCATCAATTGTCCATCTTTGACAGTTTGGTTGTAGTCTCTTACAAGGTCAGAAGATGCAGACCCTGTTCACCCTAGATAGCAAGCTACGGTCCAGTTAAGACTGACGATATAAGGGCACGGTTCTCTTGCTGAGCTGAAATATTGGTTCCAAATTGATTTTCACCAGGTATGACGTTCCACAGGATAAATCACTTCATCACCTATGCCCGACGAACTCTCACTAATGAAGTGAGTCAGTGCTTATGCAAGTCAAAGTCAATTGAGTGAAACCCTGTGAGTCATGCTCAAATAATCCAAATGAACAAATGTTTAATGAATATCCAAAATCCATGTACTTTATTCCTCTAAAAACAAAGATTGATGAGGTTGTCGTGACGCTCAATATATTTAATAATACAAATAAAGGTTAAAGAATGCTCGTGTGGAATAGGCATTCCTGTAACTGCCTTTTCTTTAATGCACTATATACAGGAGTGTATGTAAAAAAAGCATTGTACTGTATAACACAAGCATACAATAGTTCACATCCATCCATTTTTCTACCTGCTTCTTCCAATTCAGAATTGCAGGGGAGCCAGAGCCTAACCTGGCAAGCAACAGGCACAAGGCAGGGTACACCCTGGATAGGACGCCAGTCAATCGCAGGGCAGACACTCTTACACTGGTGCTTGAATGGCTGCTTTGTTCTTCAATATAAAATCATTAGATTAAGCTAATATTTATAGTCAGACACTGTCTTTCAATATGGGTACAAAAGACAGGAGAGCAACTGGTAGCTGCCAAAAATAGAGCTACTCTTGGAAAAGTATGAACTATTGTATTTTTTAAAAAGCCAGGATTGACTTTACTTCCTATCCTTTTCTACTGTATATTAATTGGGGACCTGTTCAGTTCTTAGCAACCTTGAAACATCAGCATAACCCATCTCTCCATCCATGTTCACCTCGCCTCTTTTGGTGAAGCATAATAAGCCGTGGGCATAAGAAGATTTTTAATTCCAATTCAGAGCAACCCAAAAAAAATGAAAGAAAGTGGACCTTCTCCTCATACAAGTAAAGAATCAGCTCCAAGAACATGACTGCCGTTTTACCTCATAATGATAATTAGTCCTCTTGGAAAAAAACGCCCAGCAGACTTCAGAGTAAAGAGTACAGTATTCTGGATAGGCAGGAAAATACTGAATGCATGATATTCCGAAACCAAATGGAGTTTTCAATTAGCACAGTCATCAAAGCATTTCTAGATGGACTTTGAACAAAAGTAATAGGTAAGGTCTATTTATTTAGGAATATTTTGTTCAGTTTTTCAGTTACATTTTACTTAGGACTAAACAAGCTAACGACTATAACAGAATAGCTTCCCTGGGGGGGGTTGTATGGTATCAACTGACACTCCCCTCACCTGAACTTCTGTTTAATAACCACTTTACTTGCAAAGGAGAGACTGGAAAACACCGTGCACTGTGACTAATATTTATTGCCCTTCAGGAGCTGGAAGAAATCCAGTATAGGCAGACATACTGTACAGTGCCAAGAGAACAGCTGATGAACTCCCTTGGCTGGGCCATATTGCTGTATATTGTAGAGTTTTGGGGATACAATATTTCAAATAGCAAAGAGAATTTAACAAGCTCCCATTCTCGTGTGAGCTTGACTGGTGGAAATCAAGGCAAAGCTACACCATAAAGACTTGGGCATAAGAACTAAACTGACATATCACATACCGGCATTGTGTTCAAAATCTCTTTTAAAAAGGTTACATTTGTGGTTTATTTATTTATTTTTTTGGAACTGGGAGCATTTCTTCCTGCAATGGGGTTATTCCCCGGGTTGATTTCAAGAAGTGGGATGACAGGAGAAAGCCTAGCGTAAAAACAGGTAAACAACAGGTGAAGTAAAAATTTTGAAGCATTTAGGGAAAATACAGAAATCTCAAACAGGCCAACCTGAGATTAGAGGCCTAAAATCTTCACCTTAGCTTTTCCATTTGACCAGGCTCACTCACTCTCGCATACATCCAATACCTGTGAAGTATGAACACATTTGTAACTAAAAGGGCTGCACAGAACCTTTACGGACAAAAGGATTTACGGTCACATTGTTTTCCATATGCAGGCCCATACAAAGACATGCTTTACATAAGAATAATAAATACACTATAACTTTTCAAATAATAAAGTTGCAGAGCTCCCAGGAAGTTTGGGAAAACATTCCATACACAAGAACATTTCCTTCCTGTTTAATCAATCAGTTTTAATCAAGTGTCTGCTGTATTTTCACACTTATTTCTTTTTACTAAGCCTAAGACAACGATGGCGATCGAAACATTGCAGCAAGAACAGAAAATGTGAGAAAAAAATAAACATACTGTAGGACCTTATGCCTATACTGTATGTGCTATTGTACTAATGTACTAAGTCTCAACCCTAATATGATGTCGAATAAATTAACAGGTATGTTATACTGGGCTTCATAAACGCTTCTGCTCCTAATTTAAGACAACTTCAATCTGACGCAGTCGATGTAGGTTGGCTTTATGTAAAATGCTGGATCATACTGGCGATTAATACTAAGTGATCTTGACATACTGTATCCCAATTTTGTATCCTTTTGAGATTTTTTTTGGGGGGGGGTTTAGCACCTCATTGCATAACATGCTACCAAAAGGGCATTAGGAATGAAGGAAATTAGAAAATAAAACTAAAAAGCGATGCAGAAGGTAACACATCGATTATGAAACATCAAGAACAGAGCACAACGATTAATTCTGATCATGCCGTCTACACTTCACACTTTGTGAAACCACGATGTTATTTCAGGACACAACTGGATTAGGATTATACAGTATCTAGTATTGCATTGTGAAATTTGCCCCTTGTGGGGTGGTTAATACGTCTCCCTCATCCTGCTTTCACATTGTCTTCCTCATGCTGGGTATTTCAATGGACATGAAACTCAGGCTTTTGCCAAAGGTGCCCTTTCAACCTACTTTGTTGACACAACTACAGCCAGTGAACTCCAAAATTCCCTAAGAGCTCTGCCACACATACCGAAGACACATCAAGAGACAAAGCCCATGACTCAATAGCGTGAACTCCTAAGAGTCATCAACTTTCGAACTAAAACCCCACCCTGTAGAAGATGGGTTTTTGGGAAAATAAATACATTAATAAATAATTCAGCAATAAATAAACACTAAAGAACAGTTTCAGGAATATGTACAACAACGTCCACCTTTACAAAATTTACAGAAGGACGGTGGTTTCTTTTGAGTACAAAAACGAAGAAGGCCATTCAAATGACCGTGTACTTTTACAAAAAAGACACTCCAACGACAATATCATGCAGTTTACAAAGGGGACCTCAGATGAACGAGGGGTGTTCAGAATGACTGAGGCAAACGGAGTGTAGCCTCGCTGTCAGTCCTTGTGCAGATCACAGGTGAAGTCCCCTCCCTCCATGCTTTCAGTCATATCCTGTGGTCCTGAAGGATAAGCCCACCATATGCACAGACAACCAGGAAGGGAGTTCTGTGAAGTCCAAGGCGTCTTTCTTTTAATTAGTGCGGAGAATTTTAGGAATTGTGAGCTTTGTAAAGGGCAAAATGAAGACCCATCATGGGGTACCACTAGCATCCCAGCGTGTGGACTGTTCAACGTGGGCAGTGCATGTTGACCGAACATCAGGTGTCTAATTAATGAATGACACCTGAAATCCCCTATGTTTTTTTTTTTACTGTTTAAAAAGTAATATAAAAAATTTGAAAGAAAAATCTCCAAGGCTTCATTGCAGGATATGGAAGGGGAATTCCTGAGACAAACTCCAGCAGCCTGTAAATTCAAAATACAGGATGTTTCCTTCTCTAAAGTACTAGCCTAGACTTACAAGGATTATAGGTTTACAGAGAATCTGTTTCTGACCACATCTAAATCGGGAGATGCCTTCATTTTGGAAGTCCAGTGAGTGAAATGGGAGCTGAATAGAGCCAAGTGAAGTTTTCGTCATTGGGCAGTAGACAGAGTTAGTCTCAGAATTAAGGCCTTTTCCTCAAAGGAATCTCCACTTTTAGCACAAGGAGACTGACGAGGGGGAAGTTCAGGCGCTGTTATGGAGCTACCAGGACAAAACGCAACCACGCTAAAGCAAGGAAAACAATGGAAGAGCAAGACGTCTGGTTTTCAGCTGTAACAAAGGGATTGTTCTAAATTGTTTTGAGACCTCATGGTTCAACTGTAAATGAACACTTAAAATTCAAAACATTCAAAGCAAAAGTGCATAAAAGTCAATACAGTACATATTGTCACACTTCAATAAAGAAAGCCTGAAGGTTTGTGGATGGAAATGACAAAAAAACAATACAGGATAAAAAGAGCTAACGAATTCTGTTGTGAGGACAAGGATTGGATATTTAAAATGCTTGGCCTATACAGTAGTTCATGTGCTATAAAGTCATGCACCTTGAGAAACCTTCACCAATACTTGACCACAAGACTTTAAGGACTTTCTTTATGTAAGGTGAACAATACAATATGGAAGGAATGGAATGATACAGAACACTGCACATAATACTTCATAAGACCACAAGATTGCATTTGACTGGTGGAAGACCTGAATTTTCCCATCCATTTTCATGTCACTAATTATGGAGTTTAAAAATTGCATCAGAAACCAGAATCCAGAGCAAAACACTTTTTTTTTCGGAAACACAAAAGGTTCACAATGAAAGCCTGCCTGTGTAATAGAAATCTATACACTTGAAACTTGGCACGTGTTGCACACAGGCAACGGCGCATCTAAAAAAAAGGAACATCAACAAAAGTGACAACTTTAAGAAATTCTGATGATATAACGGGCTGACTTGCAGAGCCAATGTGTTCAACTCAGCCCTTTGAAAACATTTTTTGGTCACATCTTTCTTGCTGTAGGGCAGAACTTCGATTTTGGTTTGTTATTTTGAATTCATTGGAGACAGAGATCTTAATTTCATCCATGAAGCAGCAGCATCAGACAGAATGTAATATTTCCCATGGGGGCTGTAAAATATGTAGTGTAAAGCATGACCTGGCTGTTGTGATGTACAGTATGTTGACGTGGATAAATAACTGATAATGACTGTCAGGTAAATAGGCTGTCAGAGGCAGGCAATGGCTGGCTGGCTTGAGGAACAAGACACAAACTTCCATCATCATTTCTCTCGAGCCAGAACAATCACCAGATTTCAATCCTGCAGAAAACTAGCAGAACAAGCAAGACAGGCAGTTCAATTTCACACAATATGGCCCTCATCACACCTTCAAGTGAAGGATCCTGCCAAGAGAAAGAATTGGGATTAAGTTGCTAAATACATCAAATTGAATAGATCCACATCATGTTTAATGTGTGTATGCTATTCAAAGAGGCCCAATATAATTAGTTGGTGGGTGTTTCTACTGTAGTTTTCTGGCCAGTGAGGATATACCGTATTAGTTTTTATCCTCCCCATTGGAAAGCTGAAACCAGGACTTAGAAATTTATGGGTTACACCTCACAACAGAAAGGTCTGTTAATTTTGCAGCACATAAACTGGGTGGTCGGGATTGTACTTTACAATCATTCGCTGATTTTAGGGCTGCTTTTGAAAGATATCCAAGGGCTGAATAACAGGAACAAGCACAGTAATAAATTAAATCATTTACAGAAACGATTTGATTTTCCTGAGATTTGAATGTCCAACTCCTAACAGTAATAATAATTACCATAATAACGCTGAGTCTCAAAGCTGAGCATCACGTGACTTTAAGTTCTCTAAAAAGTGACCTACTGTACCTAAAAGAGTTGTTCTGAGGTCTGCAGTTCATTAGAAAATTCTTTCTCCTGTGGCAAGAGGAGACAAACACTATGGTATGATAAGGCCTGAAACTATGGAGATCTTCTTACAAAGGATGGTACTTTTTTACAAATATAAATATCTTTAAAAGAATCTCCTTGTAAAAAATGGCTCAATAAATATGATGGGAGAAGGTGATGTACACTTTCTACACTATCTAAATGTTGTTAACGAGCACACTAAAATAGAAAGATTCTGTATGTCATGGAAAACTAGTTTATCTTCAAAAGAAACAGGACATGATAAACAACAGAATGCATTGCAAAACTGCTTAGTTTTGGGATGGGGGTACTGCACTAATGAATGATAACCATGTAGTCTAATATTCTCAAAAGCCCTGTATAACAGTGCTTGCAAATGATAAATCTTGCATTCTTCTAGCAGTACTGTACGTGTTCTCCAACCAATGTGTCCATTTTCTTCAACTTAATATTACTGGCTATATGAATTTGCAGGTTGCATAATTTTGTACAGAAAAAAAAACAACTCATGACACAAGATATTGACTTTGTACAGTTCATTCTCACTTTTGCTGTGTCCTTGATAATTGTAATTCATTGGATCGGTGGAATTCAATTAAATTGCCTTTTTGGAAATGCATTCCCCTTTAGTTTAAGGATCCCTCATAAAACATAATATTCGGAATGAAAATTGTATAAAGACCCACAGTCAAGGGTCTTCATTGGCTATTAAGTGTATGCAGACAAGAGTGTCTTGATCTATAAACTCCGTTTGGAAATACTTTTGCTCACGCTCACGCTGACCATTCTAGGCTCTTCTTCTGAATTTTAGAGACTGAATACCACAAAGCTGAAAGTCATCGGCCGTTCACATTTTAATCAATAATTTTTTTTCCTCTATAGTCTCGGCTTCTCAAATGGTTGCTTACTGCATTCTTCCAATACAGCATCTAGACCCACAGTAAAGAAGCTTGCTATTAAATGGACCCGTCCTGCTCTTCGACTGCTGCCCTTACAACTGCCTGATCAGATTTCATAGTCATACTTTTTACTGAACACATAGCGGGTTGATTCTACTCCGCAGAACAAGTCACGGAAAATACAATCATAAGAAGAAAAAATGTCCCCCTAGACTCGTTAATCTTGTAAAAAGTATAAAAAAGTGGACCCATAACCTGCCAAAAATTTAAGTCATCAAAGACGTATCTTGTGCAAAACAGGCTTTAATGCATATTTTTCTGAATGGCACTGTGGTGTTTCCTGCTCTTGTAAAAATATCATTTCTGAGTTATAAAAACAAACAAAACTCAAGAACTATGATGTTCTTTAGAGACCTGAAAACTAAATCTAATAAATCTTTAGATTAATTTAACTGAAACCTAATATCTCTACCTACAATAGCTGCTGTGTAGTGAGTTTTTGGCAGTGACTCTTGAGTCTCTGCCTACCTGTGAAGATTTGGGAGTTTCTGTAACTTGAAAAATCCTATATGAATGCAGGGTATTAGTAATAGAATTAATAACAATATCTCATAAACGCATAACAACTTAGAAACAATCATATGAGATCATTTTCCTCATGAATATGATTGCAAATAACCTGTGTCATGTTACAGTATGAGTTCACAATGTATTTATGTGCTACTAAATCAAGTTAATAAGGTAGTCCATGACATTGAACTGTGAATACAACTCCACACTTGTATGTACATAAAACATTATAAAGGAATCCTTAAACTAAGATTCAAAGGGAAGCGGAAGAATTTTATACTTTTTTGATACACTTGAATTTTGGATTCTCGTGTAGGATTTTGAAGACAAAGTAATATTTTAATTTAGGTACAGGTCCTTAAAATAAATCTTAGAGAAGGACAAATATTTTTTTTTTTCAGGTAGGCCCTAGAAAATGTCATGTAGTAAAAACATTACAATAGGGGCCAATGGCTTGAAGGGATTTCTGTAATGCTTTGTGAGCATCACCTGACTTTGTAAATTGACAGAGGGTCTTCCTTCTGACCCCCCGGTACAAGAAGAAGCAGCTGGAAATAACAGGCCACTCCATTAAAAGACCCGGTTAAGATTTTATAACGCATCCTCAGATCCTCGAGAAAAAGGAAATGGCCGGAGTCTGGAAGGAAGAAAGAAATAGTGCAAAGCAGGCCAGCCCTTGGAGAGCGGAACCTCTTTTAGCGCAGGCCGGACTGGACTTCAAGGATAGGACTAGACACGGACAGCCGGCCCTGCGCCTGCAGTGAGAGGGACCGTGGAGCCACAGTCGTAATCGAGGTCCACGATGGTATGGGCACCACTGCCCAAGCCCCTCTGGGGATACCCGGTCTGCCTGTCCCGGAAGCTCTGGATGTAGCTCTGAAAGAGAGGGCAAATAAGAACGCTGAAGGCCAGACGCACAGGGGAGCAGACTTTTAGGAAGAGTGTGGATCAAAATAACCGGCCGTGTTGTTGAAGCCGATTCTCTGGGCAATTCAAACTCGGGGTTTGAAGAACAAACAGTTGGATGAGTTCCACAGATGAATAAGCCATAAAAATTACAAAAAAACAAGGCTGATAAGTTCATCTCCTTTGTGACATTACATTTATAATGCGGTCATAAACCACCCCCCTCCATTTTGAACTCCACTTTCCTGCTTCATGTCCTGTACCAACACCAGAGGGATGAGGACTTTACTCGCCTCTCTCTGAAGCCGGCATTATCAGAGCCATATCCCGTTTTTCACACTGCAAGCCTCACAAAAGATAACTGTTGCATAGCAAACCAGGGCCCAAGTCATCCAGCTTCAGCAGTGCCTGAACAGTGCTGGATTACTCTTGGGCTAATCCAATTCATATGAATCAGTAATGGCTTCTGGACAACACAGGTCAACCTGGGCTTCAAACAATCACTTTTACTCGTTGAGAGGTTTCTTTTAGTTGTGTCAAAATGACTGCAGAGAAAGCATCGAGTCAAATGTGCTCATTTATTGTAGCACTAGCATGAACAGTAATATACAGTATTAAGTTCTCATGCTGTATCTTCCTTTATATGGAAAACTTATTCTTTGTGATAGCTAATTTAGATGTTCCATTAGTCTTTTCCATAGATTTATTTCACTCATCTAAAATACTGGCAAATAAAATTAATAGGGATTCAAGTAATATTAAAACAGATGGTATGGCAGCACAGTGGTTAGCATTGCCCTGGGTTCAGTTCCTGGGGTGTTATATGCGTGAAGTTTGTGTGTTGTCCCTGTGTTCCAATAGGTTTTTGATGGGTGCTTCGGTTTCCTCCAACAGTCAGAGTCAAGACATACTGGTAGGTTGATTGGTTTTTGGCAAAGTTGGCTCTGGTGTGAGTGTGTGTGTCTGTGTGTGCCCTGTAATGGACTGGTGTCCCATCCAGGGTGTATCCTGCCTTGTACCTGTTGCTTGCTGGGATGGACTCCGGCTCTCCCGAGACCCTGTATTGGATAAATTGGATAGAAGACGGATGGATGGAAATATTAAAGCAGTTACCGAGCACAACCGTTGATATCTGTACTCAATCTGAGAATTGAAATCATCAGGAAAAAAGGTTAGTAAAAGGTGTTGGAATGAGAAATGGTTTTGTTTAAAATTCTATATCATTTAAAAGTCTTAAAGGCTAATACAAAATAATACACAGAACAAAGACAACTCACAGAAAACATTTGCAGAGACATACAATACCATGTTGTAGTGTGGCAATCTTGTGTCAGACTCAACTGATTTTAAAATTCTACAGTATGCGATGAACTGTAGGCTAAGCTTTTTGCTAGCGTTGACTGTTGTGATGCGATTTCTCTTATGAAGGGCAGAATGGAGCAACTGTTCTTGTTGCACACAGTGTGAGGGCAGACAATTCTGGAAAAGCTGAAAATAAAAAAAAAAAGATATTGTAATAGATACCGCAAATGGGGCGGAGTGGTGGCTCTGTGGCTGGAAGGTTGCCGGTTCAAATCCCGCAGCCGGCAGAGGAGTCCTACTCCGTTGGGCCCCTGAGCAAGGCCCTGAACCCCAACTGCTCCAGGGGCAGTGTACAATGGCTGACCCTGCGCTCTGAACCCAGGCTCTCTCCCTGTCTGTGTGTCTGTGTGTCTCATGGAGAGCAAGCTGGGGTATGCGAAAAGATAATTCCTAATGCAAGAAAATTGTAAAGGGTTAATAAAGTGATGTTAAAAAAAAACAATCACCAGATAAATGAATGGTTAGTTTTCAGGCATCTGCTTAATTTCCTGTAGGGGACCAAAGTACTGTATAAGGGCAAAGATTGGTGCATTGCAGATATTCAAAGAGACAAGCTACAGTATAGTTTTGACAGCCACAGCTCCTGTATGTATTGCGAGGTAGAGAAAATCACCGATGGCGCCATGTGACGGTCTCTTACAGAAAGTCACGGGAAGAAAAGGAAGAAAAAAGTGCCGTAGGCACAGGAAAATTATAGGATGCATTATCCGGCCTTCCGCGCCTCATCAAATCCATGTCCATACAGTATTTCACACTCCACAACAAAGAACAGGAAGCCACGTGCTTTGTGAGACTCTGTGGACCTGGTTTTGCAGAGAATAAAAGCTTGAGGAGGGTATGAACTTCAGCAGGATGGCAATCAGAAGACTTTTTAAAGCAGACTGCTGCCAGAAAATTGAAATGTAATTCCTCAGCCACAATCTCCTGAGGTAATAATTCCCCCTTTCCAGTTTTCAAACTTATCAAACGGCCGCTGGGAGACCTCCGAGTTTGTCATCTCTTTTATGCTTTCTGAAGCGTCCTCATTTTTCCAGTACTAGTTCTGAAGAAGTGCAACAGAGAATGCAAATACTCCGGGACACCAGTGTGCTTCTGAAACAATTTGAAAATAGATTTATACTGATGAGAAGATGATGAAAACAATAAACGAGTCTGATACTGAGGACAGATGTGATTATAAGTAGCAAAAAGCATGGTAATTGTCATTATGGGTATACAGAACTTTTTAAAAGGTTTCCTTTTCATGTATGACATTTCCAGATGGGGCTAGTTACACTGATAAAGCACCTGTCACTTTGGTTAGTAAACTGGCAATCTCCCTTTGGAATTACACTACAAACCTGCCTCTGGCTTCTTCTGTGTAAACCATCTGGGATTTTAGAACTTGGCATATTAAACCAATACCTGCTCAAGACTGAGAAAGACAATTTGGTGCTGCATGAGACAAAAAACTGCTTCGTTTACTCACACAAAGAAGTAGATGTCTAGTTTTTGTTTATCATCCTCCAGGCCCTTTAATTTTAAAAATATACTTTGTAAAGATGTTACTGTATACCGCCCTACTTAAAAAGGCTTCTCATTATGTAGTGCTAGTGGAACTATATATATGCGAGAGGAAAAAAAAAGAAATATATAATAAAACACACTTATAATATTTCACATTCCCTGTGAAATAATTATGCAATGTATTTAAAAAATCGAAATATTTAAATTTATATAAAAAAATGTTCTCCAGATTTAGGTGTTGTCAGGCATAGACCAGTGACGGTACTGTATATTACCTTATTTTGTGATGCTAAATATATTCAGTGTTGTAACAGTAAAAACTGTGGCAAATTCAGCATACAGTACTTACATACAGTAAAGAAAGTCACTGAAAGCACCTTTAATTAAACAACTAAAGGCTTTATATTTACAACATTGGGATTCTTGGATGCTGAGAAGAAGCTGACCTTAATTTTAACAATCTGCAATGTTTCTGCAAGGAAAAATCTATTGCCAATGTTTTTTAATTTTGCTTTAGATAAGGCTGAAACACTAACATTTGAATTTTTATTCTGCATGTTTCTTTGTCTGGATTTTTAGGATTTTATTCAATATTAGTTGACACTTGCATAGAAAGTAAGTGAACAGATGTAAACAGGCCTCTTAATGCATGGTATCCCCCCCCCAAAAAAAAATAATATAAATATTGTCTTTGCCTTTGCTCTTAATCCAAAAGGGGTTCTTACAGGGAAAGGCAACAGAGCTTTAGAATGACACAAGAAGAAGAGAGGGGCAACTCAAGAAGGGGTGACCCAGTGATCACAGAGAGAGTAAACTATGGTGGATATGTGAGGATGCGCAGTAGTGTGGCACAGTGGTCATTATTGCTGGCTTGCAGCTTTGGGGCCCTGGACATCCCACAATCCAAAGGCACACTGTTAGGTTAACTGGATTCTGGGACAATTGCATGGCTCTGTTTGTATCTGTGCGCCCTGTGATGGACTGGAGTTCCATCCAGGGTGTATCCCGCCTTGTGCCTCTTGCATGCTGGGATAGACTTCGGCTTCCCTACAACCCTGAATTAGAACCCTGAAGTGGTAAGAAGATGGATGGATGGATGATATGTAAGGATATTCTGCACTGGAACCCACTGAACTTCCTCCTCTCGTGTGCAACCCTTTATCTACGCAGTCACACGAGAAACTGCAAGAGGCAGGATGTTGGACAGACGAGTCGCAGGGTCTTACCGGTGACAGCACATCGCCATCAAATCGACGGATTGGGTTGGGCTTGCGGCGGTAAGCCGGTTCCGGGTGCAGGGGCTTGGTGGGATGCTGGTGATGGTGATGATGGTGCTGCTGCTGCTGTTGCTGTTGCAGCTGCTGCTGCTGCTGCTGCTTCTTCTTCTTCTTGCGGTCCTTGCGCTCCTCCTTCTGCCGGATCCGCATCAGCTGCACTCGGCGCTGCTGCCGACTGATGATCACTGTGACAGCAGAGGGGGCGGGGCAGGAGGGGGCGGGGCACACGGTGGGCGTGGCATGGGCGGAGATACAACGCAGATCACATGCTGTGCTCTATGGTTCAATACAGCTGTATAGACCATGCATTACTGCACACCATTCATTGGTGCATCAAAAGCAGCAGTGACATAGAAAATTGGAGACAGTAGATAATCTGTGTTCTTATTCCTGTAATGTTTCTACTGTACATATCATGTAACATGTTCCTATCATCCTAGTATGTAGAGGTATAGATATGACCCATTCTTTGGAACTGGTATATCATAGCATAGTTGTTTAGGACTTCTCTACAAGGAAAACCACAATGTATAAACGCACCTCTGAGCGAACAGATCTGGATAGCTAATTCAGCTCAATATATGACTGGATGCAATTGTACATATACGGTACCATACCATAGGATAAATTCAGCTAAGGAAGGACTGTCAAAAATGTCTCATTTATTGCATTTCCTTTAAAAGCAAAAGAATCACTGCACAGCGGTAGAGTTGACTTAACAATGCTGTATCCATCTTTCACAATCTCAGTCCTTACTGAACTTACTTAAGTTGGCCTGGACTCTAAAATGGTAATTTATTCATACATTTACAAATGATAACTTTCAAACTTCATAAAGCGGTGTAAGTTTAATGACACAACTACACTATCTAGCGAAAGACAGGAACTTCAGTGGAAAGATCAAATGTCAAAACAGCCACCTGCATGTCAAATAACTGTAAGTGTTTTAAAAGCATGAGGATGAAAAGTGTCAGCCCCAGGGAAAGACTTAACATGACAGCAATATTTAGCTAGTCAAAACCACCGGATGTTGTAGAGGAAGTTATTTTAATCCAATTTGAATATTTTGGAGCAGTGAAGAGACAAAATTACAAAGCAGCTATTTGAGCATAAGAATATACTGTATGGGAAGACACAAAGGAAACTCGTATGTCCTATAGACAGAATGTTAATTGAACCATGATGAGCAGAAACACAATCTTCAAAACAGACCGAGCAAGGCTTAGATTCAACAGAGGACAGGATTTGCAAACACTTTGCCAGGCTTCAGACCTTCAAGGGGCAAAGTCCAGCAAGTTTTACATTTTCTCTAAATCATTACTTGCTTAGGATACCTGAAAAACCTATCAAATAAGTGCAAGTGAGAAGATAATGACTATTTTTCAGCAAGCTAACGATTAGTTCAAATATCACAAATCTTTGGGGGCTCTGCAGAGACCAAGAATTGTAGCAGGGAAACTCAATTTGCATCTAATGCAATGTACTAAAAGTAGCATATTAAATGTGAAGGATCCTATGATTAGCGCTAATGACTGGACTATGAGCAATGCATAAATGAATACCAGTTGCACCACTGAGAACCATTTGCAGGGAAATGAACCAAATTAAATCGTCTACAGTTTGGTATTAAATCTATCCTTAATTGCAACAAACTCAAATTAGCACCCTGCTCCCATTACAGTAGGTTACATCAGTTTACTCAGCAAATATTTCAATACTAAACATGTCTTATCCTACAGTATATACTATGAATACTGTACAGTGTACACCGATATTCAAAGACTCAGACATAATCGGGAGTTACAACATTTCCATGTTATGAATAAATAATTATTCCAAGAACCCATTAGCAGTTTAGCAATAGCAGCTGTAATTAATTTGTAGATAACACTACAATTTCGAAAATAACAGACTTGATGCAGAAATTTGCACTGATCAGAATCCTAAAAAATCACAACAACACAATGTAAACTCTACTTAATAAGCAAATGTGTGTTGTAGTATTTAATGCAACCTAATTAATGGGCAAATCTAATTGACTTGTTGGCAAGTGTTCCTGGTCATTAACACCTGTTTTTGTACTCTACACCCCCATAAAGCTAAAAGGCTTCATTATGCATTACAAAACGCAGATCTAGCTGTTAATTTGAAAAGTAAATGGGTGGAATTTCATTAGATGACAACAGAGTCCTGCATCAAGCAGGAAAAACACGGAGAAGACAAGAGAGCGAACATTTTTAAGGCTTTCATCCAGCACTTTTGTCTACAACATTAATACGTATATGGCAATCGAGTCGGAGATGGCGACGATCGCAAGACCGCGGCAGTTAGCCCTGCCACTCACCTTCGGTGTGGGAGTAGCCCTCCGCCGTCACTTTCCACTGGACCAGGACCCCCAGAAGCGTCAAAACGGGCCACACGCCCAGGATCACCCAGCTGAACCAGCACACGGGCCGGGCCGGCGCCACCTTTATCCGCTCGTAAACGTACCGCACCAGCAGGAAGAGCTCGATGAAGTAGTCCACGGTGACGGTGATCACCGCGCTGCCGAACACGGCGGTGGACAGCGTGGTGAAGCAGCGCTGCCACTGCAGGGTGAGCACGGCAAACAGCATGCCAGTGCCCAGGAGGAGGCCGAGAGGGATCCACACAGTGGGAGGGTGGTAGAACTGCTCCATCACCACCAGGGTCGCCACGGCGACCAGCAGGCCCAACAGCAGGCCTACCATGAAGAGGCCCACACTGCGCACCAGCATGGTGACCAGGCCGCACAGCACCCCGATGCCAAGGCCAATGCCCACGCTGGCTTCCACGCTCAGCTGCGTGTCCAGGACCCTCTCCTTGTAGCACAGCATGAAGATAATGATGGAGCCAAACATCAGCCCAGTCAGGAACATAACGGCTTTGAAGCAGCGGTAACCTGGGCAACGAGATGAGAGCTCATGTTGTCGTGGGGAATGTTTAAAAGATGGTTCTCTCTTTACAAATAAAGAAGTTAAAGGAAACACGGATTGACCCCTTTCAAAAATCTTCTTTTTTTTTCTACACAAAAAAATTAGAAGAAATGCTAACTCATTGCTTTCCTGCAGGCCTACTGTAGGTACAGTACTTACTGCTGTACAAAAGGCTTACATTTTCATATAAAGTACTTTGTAGTAGCATTCTGCAATAGAATAGCTACTGTGGACAACTGCTGTGCCGTACCTATCAATGAATGTATGAACTGCAGCAAATAGTGTTACCTTATATCAAATAACTCAATATTAGACAATTAGACAATACTGAGGGCAGTTTAGCTCAAAGTACAAAAACTGTTTTAAAAAAGAAGAATGTACACCAAGTTTTAGTTTTTTTTAAATTATTCACTACAACGCCTTAGAAAACTAGAAACATCCAGCCACCTTCTCGCTGCTTCTTCCAGTACAGGGTCATGGGGGAGCTGGAGCCTGTCCTGGCAATCAATGGGCACAAGGCAGGGTACACCCTGGACAGGACGCCCGTCCAGCACAGGGCACACATACGGTACAAACACCGACATGCACATACTCGCACCTCAGGCCAGTTTTCCCAAAAGCCAACTAACTAGACATTTGTGACATTAACAATTCTTTAAAAATATCATCCTGCAACTGACAGATGTTGGAATGTGGCATTTCAAATACTATAAATACTGGGAACTATTCTTTGTGTTTTCCTTTTAAAAACCAGCACATTCATCCACGACTACAAACATATTCCTTACTGGCTTTTCTATTTAAGGCTATTGCAGTTAGTCGAATCTAAATTTATTAAAGAGCATGTCTCCCTCAATGTTTGGCTGAAATCCTAATCTAAACCAAGAGTCTTATACAGCACATCTTATAATACAGTGCCAGTAAAACCTTGGAGCACATGCACTGCATTTGGGAACTGAGTTTTATTAAACCCATAAAACACAGCCAATTAATAATTTGATGCCAATTTTTAATCAATTATTTTTAATTTTCTTGGTTAGTCATAAAAATTAAGGTAAAAAAAACCTGGGAGTGGGAGTGCTTTTATTCTGTGTGTATTTATGGAGCATTTCATCAATTTTAAGATTCAGTGGAACTACAGTAAACACCTTGTGGTGTTAAAAGTAGAAGATCAGCAAATGACCATAGCCTGTAAACGCTGCTCCAGTAAGCAGATGCAAAACAACAGACAAAAATTTATTCATTTAAATCAGAATAAAAGTGTACTGCATCAGCAATAAGCATCAGATCTTATTAACATTTGTTGGCCAAGCATACAGAATTAGCTTGAAAAAGAAAATACAGTACCATCACAGCAGGGATGGAATTTGTTAAGGAAGAACATTAATACTTGGAAAGCGCATCTCTAAATTAATTAAAAAAAACAACAAGATACAACCCAATGATTTACAGAAACCATTACGTTTTTCCGAGATCAACATCTGATGGTAATCCTCTGTATAACTGGAAAACTGAATGGGGATCTCCTTGCTGTATTAATTCTATGCACAGTGTGTAGAACAGGTCTTGATTGAGTGGAGGTTACTGGCTGAAATCCAGGCCATGCCAGAAGTAGACACTGGGCGGACCGGCCTTCAATCACTATGATATGTACTCTATATATTGCTAAGTTTTTGGCAGGGGGATACTTGTACTGTACACACTGAAACCTTGTGAAGCATTTAGAATAGGCATTGGTCCTATCAAACAAATTATGAAAAAGAATAAACATACTGTAACATGCAGAAGGAAAGTGATCTCAACAAGACAAAGGGTTACATCACTTTGGCATTCATCTGTGATCATTGCTCATCATTGACTGAGCTCTGTTCTTGAAGGACTTCATTTTCATTTCCAGAGATGGATTAAGAGATCTTACAACTTTGACAGTCCATATATAAGTACAGTACTGTATATTGTGTTTCTTGCTCAACGTAAAGGGAGTTATTTCCTGGGTGTTACAGTATGTTCTCTATAGCAAAAATGTCTTATGCTCTTAAAAATATAATTTTCTGAGGATTAGCCTTTTTTCAAATAAACTGTAATTCTACCAACATTTCAGGGCAGTTTCTCAGCAGGGCACTAAAATAATAATTTGCCTGCTGTGTCTCTTAAGAATTTACAAAAGAACCCTCCATCCCCTACATACTGTTAACCCAACACCCTCTCATCCACTAGGCTATCCTAATCCAGTCCCTCAGAGATCCCATGTTGCCTTTCAAATAATCTCTCTCCAAGCAGGATTTAGTATTCTGATTCCAGGCCAATAAAGACAGTGTTGGGAAGAGAGAACTAGGCGATACTGAGAAGACGGGAACCATTCATATAATGGGCAATTCAGTGCTCTACATGAAAAGCCCACAGATAAGAGGTTGGAGAAAGAGATAAAAATGTTTGCCATTGATTAGTGTACTCTTTAAATTAGGATTTTCAATCATAGCCTGGGCACACTATGTGATACACAGTTCCCTTTATTATTCGGCCTAAATGAAACCTGGCAAGAGCTTTTTAGTTTTCTACCACTTAAAATGTGCACAGAACTGGCTTTAAATGAGTAAGTTTTCACCCTTCTCATCAACTACCATTAAACAAAAAGGCCACTATTTGTGAGAGGTTTTGACATGTTTTTGACACAGGAGAGATGGAGGAAGTGTAGGCATTCTCCACTGACACACCCACCTTCAAAAAACATGTTTTCTAACATGTCACAGGCAACACAGGCCCCCTACTAGTGTTTTAGTGCCAACTGGTTGAGAGGCCATTACTGGTTATACTGCACATCTACCAACATTTTGAGCATCACAATAGTCACTGTGCCTTTAAGAAACAAGACCCCTGGCTGAATAAACCCCCTTGGGACACTGTTGGTTTGGGACAGGACTCAGGGTCGAACCCATGATCTCTGAGCCCTATTTGCAGGCCGAGAAGCACCTTACACCATTTTTAATACAAGCCAGAAGACACAGAAGGACTTTCAACCCAGGACTGAGCAACACTGCATGAAACCAAACAATCCTGATTGTTGCCGGATATTTTTAGTTGTAACTATGCCAACATTTTTGCCATCACTGGGAAAGCAAATTCCGCTTATGTCTAGGAGATCCAAGGCACTCCGTTGTCGACATTAAGCTTTTGCTTATTTTAGGGTTATGATAGAATTATTAAGGATAGATGCTTGACAAAATCCCAGGGGATTCTCTGCTGCTGAAATAACATCAAGCAGACATACTGTATTGTACAGGGTATCCAAACAGATTCCTGATTCTTAATTTCCTTCAACAATTTACATCCACTGATTGAGTCTCTTATTATGATCCTATCTCTTAAAAGCACTTCACCATACTACAATGGAGTTGTGTGCAGGAAATCAGATATTTGTATCAGATATCTTTTACCCAAATTTAGGCATGTCAGCTTTTCTAACTTTCTATCTTTTCGGATTTTGTCACAAAACGGGGATAAACAGCTCAATCCTTGATATTTACATCTATATTCAGTGTGACACCCGAAGAAGGCTCCACAGCCGAAACGCTGTGTTTCTTTTCTCCTCTTTACAGGATGGAATAAACCTTTACTTGGTCCTATATTCAGTGTGGACAAGGCTTTAGTTTTACTTTTCACTTTGAAGAAGGCACTCCAGATAGGACGGTCAGCTCTCTGGGAGCACTGAACTGATATCTTTGTACCAGGAGGAGTATCAACATCCAAGCTCATTTTCTTTTTTCTGGTTTTCTTATATCGAACTGCCACGCCTTTGTCGCCTTTCTCTGGCTTGACAAGATCCAGCATCTGAGACACCGAAGCTTGCCGGGAAATGAGCTTCAGTTGCCTGACATTCCAGAGTGGGCAGCCAACGTGTTTTCTTACCAAAGAAGCAGTAGATGATCCCAAAGAGGCAGCACATGGCACAGACCACAGAAGGGACAATCTCGTAGCGCCTCTCGATCTCCTGGTCGCAGTCGTAGAGGTGCTCCAGGCTGCCGTCCCCTGGAGGGGGCAGCTTGAAGTGTAGCGTCTGCAGGGTGGAGGTCATGGTACCGAGGGGAAGGGGAGGGTATCAGGGCACACTTCCCAGCCACAAGAGGGCGCCTGTCAAGACCGAGAGGAGAGGGTTAAAATCAGCAAAGAGGGTCTTCAAAAGGGTTTTTTGAACTGACACTTTCTCACCTCCCTCACTTTATTACCTCACAAAACGCTGACAGTTCAAATAGTCCATTTAGTTGTTTGAACTGTCTTCACACCAACAGAAAGCATACCTGAGCGTTCAGAGCAAAAGCTATATAGGCAACATATGCTGTAAAAGCCACATTGAATGTAGAATTCACTGAACAGTATTCCTATTACACTTTAAGAATTTATTGTTCTGAATGATTATTGCCATGGAATTATCGACTGGAAATGTCGACATTAATAAATCGCTCAGGAAGGGCATTTTCATATAAAATGCTAGCAGTAATAAAAAAAAGGCTGGAAATGCAATAGAAAGATGGGTAATGTCGTGAACAACATCTTCAGAATAAAGCAATGCAAGCACATGGGAACCAGGAGACAGAATGAGGTCTAATACACCTCCTCCATTTCATGTACTTTAGCAGACAGTGCATTTGACTTGTAGTCTGTTGATTTACACCCTGAGAGAAGCTGTTGCTTTAGGGACACAAGCTTATGAATCATGCATTCTAGATCTGCATTAGATCAAGAAGCCAGATTTGTTTACCTCCATATGGTGTTTTTTTTTTCTGTTGACAACATGGCATGGGAGATATCCAGAAGCCATGCTTTTGATGTGGTGTTATGTAATTTTTCAATTTGTAACACAGGCCCCACAAATTTGCTTCCCTCTTTTTTGGAGTTACAGTTCCCTTTGGTAGGGGACAGTGAACAAAGACTAAAGCAATAAGTGCTAAACAATGAGAAAATATTTTCAGATTCAAGACCTGATAAATACACAAAATGATGTAAGCAAAACATTTAGCATTTATTTAATCTTTCTAATAAGCAACACACGCAATTTTTTTCATTAACAACAGGTAGATGATAAGACTTTATGAAGGAAATCATTTGTTTACTTTACAGCTAACAGATAAGCTTTTATTATATAAAATTTCCCTCAAACCCCTGTTAGTCTCAAAAGATAAAGCTGACCATTTTTGACTACTTAATGCAAAAATTCTAGAGCAGAATAAAAGAAGTATTCTGAGACAGAGAACAACAAATTTAGAAGTAATGAATAACATGTCACTCATCACGATTCATCCATTACATACTGTAGCAAAGTGAATAAGGAGTAGTGAATGAGTAAGTAACAGTGACCATGGCTGTCATGACGTGATCGTTTATCAGAAAAACTGATCTGTATTCTCAAAATCCTGCCACCTCCATCAAGAACATTGACAGAGTAAGGAAACTGGCTGTTTTGACGAACTCTTAAGTCTGCTTATATCTAGTGATACATTTTCCTACATTTCTTTTTTCTGTGTCTTTATTTTTTGGAAATATTTTGCCGCAAGGGCAGAACAAAGCTGGGGTATTGAACAGTCTTTTGAATGAAGGGCTGAAATTTGTACTGATGGAGTGAATTTTAACACTTATAGAAATGTCTGTGTGTTGCTGCATCCTGCCTTCTGACTTGATAGACAGATTCTGTGTGCCATTCTCAAATGGAAAAGAGAGAGATTTTGAGATTAAATGCCTTTCAACAGTTTAACACCCCCCAATCCCCACTTCCTTTCCTTGCCCCAAGGTTACGGTTAGTCAGCCTTGTGTTTTAGCTCCTGCAGTATTCACAGACTGTTGCTAGGGAACACAGCATCAAAGTTGCAACTGTCAACTTGTGATCAAGGTATTACGAGGCATCTCCAGGAGCCTTTCTGCCACTCTCCAGCTTAGCAGTGCCGAGCTCAACAAAAAGAGAGAATGAAAGGACAGGCTTTCGTCATATACCTGTACAAGGTTTTCAAAGGAGCACCGTTCGCCATTTTTCTGTGAATTAGGCGATAAAAACTGAAAATCTGTGAAAAGTTCCTCTGTTAGGGTACAACTATCTACAAAACAGCCAACCCCACAACCTTTTATATACTGTACTTGAAAATGAAAAATGACTTTATCCAGCACAACACATCTCAAAGCCCTCCCCATGATGTATTACCTGAACGCAACGGAGGTCCCAGAAAAAGTTAAAAACCACTGTAAAAACCTCAATTAAAGTGGTCCATAAAAGAGACTTTATATAGCATTTACCTGTAGCTTACAGCTTTTGAAGTCTCTTAATGCTATAGCTCTTTCTTCCTCATCCACTCGATCCAATATGGGGTCTCAGGGCAGCCCGAGTCTATCCTGGCAAGCAATGGGCACAAGGCAGGATCACCCTTGACAGGTGCCAGTCTGTCACAAGGCAAACACAGACACAAACACGAACACACTCACAGCAGAGCCAAATTTTCTCAGAAGCCAATTAACCTACCAGTATATCTTTAGACTGTGGGCAGAAACCAAAGCAACTGGAGTTAACCATTCTGACCAAACAGGAAGAACAAACAAACTCCACACAGACTAACTACATAGCCACCAGGTCACCCCCTTTATTTCATGATGTTTGTTAAAATATGATCTTTTCACAAGCACCCCAGTGTAGATTGAGCTTAGTGATCCACATAAATTAGGTGCAAACCTGGGTCATGTCACAAACTGAGGCAGCATACAAACGCAAAGAGCGATTCCTTGTTTTCCAGACAGCCAGAAGGGTTCGGTTCACAACAGTGAGAGATGTGCTGGTCCTGCGATCAGTGCAAACTCTCCCACAGCTACTGCAGAGTTTGCAGGGTGTCATATTCACTCTGGTCTGGTGTTTCTGAGATGCAAAGACAATTCAGGACATGATAAATGTCCAAAATCAGTCTTTTAAAGTGGTTTACTGAGGGTCTGAATGACCTGGGATTGAAAAAAGCCTTTGTTTCCACACTGACGGGCTTATCTACCCCTCCAACACTATCATTTGTGATCGAGTCTGTTCTTCCTTGTCACGTCTATCACCAAGGTATTTTTCGATATCTCCGGGGGAGCTAGATTATCGATGTGGGGTTGCTTCTTTAAAAAGGAGATGTATTTAAAGATAGATTCTTAAGGTGGAATTTGAAGGCTCTTAAGGTGGATTTATTGCGATTTTACCTCTGCAAAAGAGGGGAAAGAAAATAGCATCCTGGCTTGTGAGCCGTAGATGGGGTTCTATCACGAAACGCCAAGAAATCCGCAGAGGAATCTTACATAGCTGACCCTTCTGCGTTGGAGCAGCTGTGGGTAATGGTCTTAATTCATCCCCATGAGGATGTCAGAAAGGTGAGGACCGAGCCAAACTTATCTTACTTTGCCCTCTAGTGGTGAGCAGCGTAGTTCTACCTTGAAAAAACTCAGCTGTGCCACACATTTTATTATTATTATTAATTCCTTACACTTATATAGAGCTTTTCTGAACACTCCACTCAAGGCGCTTTACAGGTAATGGGGAATCCCACTACCACCACCAATGTGTAGCCCCCACCTGGATGATGCGACGGCAGCCAGAGTGCGCCAGTAAGATCACTACACACCAGCTATCAGTAGAGAGGAGAGCAGAGTAATGATGCCAATTCATAGTTGGGGATTATTAGGAGGCCATGATGGGTAAAGGACAGTGGAATTTGGACAGGAGCTGGGGTAACACCCCTACTCTTTTCAACTAACACCCTGGGATTTCTTATGACCATAGAGCATCAGGGCCATGGTTTTATGCCTCAACCGAAGGATGGCACCTTTTTACAGTATTGTGTCCCTGTCACTATACTGGGACATTAGGACCCACACAGACTGCAGTGTAAGTGCCCCCTACTGCCCCCTCTAATACCTCTTCCAGCAGCAACCTTAGCTTTCCCAGGAGGTCTCCTATCCAGGTACTGACCAGGCTCACACCTGCTGAGCTTCAGTGGGCTGCCAGTTGTTCTCAGTGTAGCTCAGTGTTACAGTAAATGGTGTTACAGTGTTTCTGGTACCTTGCCTTTGTCCAAGTAAAAGACTACATCAGAAGAGGAGGTACAATGCAGAAGATAGTGAAGAAGATGTATGGCAGGGTTTGAACAGGCCTATTTCAAAAGATTGGTCCAAAATGGCTTTGTAATGTCATAATGGCTGGGGTAGATGCATCTACAGTGCCCAGTATTGCAATGGGAGACCTCTAAGGATTTCTGTTGAAAGTGGTAAACAGTATGTAGACCTGTAGGAGGCACTCTTCCTTTGGAGCCACGATTTCCAAACGAGTGCCCCCACAGGATGACAAAGGACAACATTTGGACAGTGCTGTTATTCATATAAAACAATGAAAATTATGACTGCTTCACCACTAAAAATAACATGGAACTGTACATACTGTAAGAGTAGGGATGTTACCCTGGTGTCCTGGTGAAATTCCACTTAGGAACATTATTTACTGTTTAGCTTCTTGCCAAATGGATAAGCCTATTGATCTAAAATACTTTTTTTTTTAACTTTGAAGAAGATAGACACAAAACATCTGAAAACATCACTTGAGCTAAAATCGTTCTAAATGAAATAAATGGGCTGTGCGTCAAAAAAACATCACAATAATCGCTCAGGTACCACACCAGTGATCTCTTTTCAGCTGTCCATTTCTGTAATATTGCTTCCTGTCTGGAATTGAGGTTTGTACTGAACTGGCAGCGGCACTGCATTTTAATAAAGACATACATTTCCACCATCTGTTCTTATAATGCACCAATCAATCTTGTATGGTGTGGACAGAGATATGGCCATCTTTCCCACCACTGCTTCAGAAAAGAGAAATGGTAAAGTGCTGGGGATGGTTGACTGGAATGGGGTCTGGAAGCAGGGAGTCCTATTGGAATTGATACACTGTGTTACCTTTCATTCTTCCCTTGAGGTTTGTCCTTCTGTACCTATTTATAATCCTTTTTCAGAAGGCATAGTATTTACTATAGCCCTATTGGATTCAGATGTAACATCTATTCATTCATCTGTGTTCAAGCCACATTATCCAATACAGTGTTGCCAGGGAGCTGCAACTAGAGCCTATCCCAGCA